GAAACAGCTTTGTTCTCCCGTGTGGAGAGGGTGAAGTGTCAGTGGGGCACTGTGTAAATTGGTGTCACACCGAAAGTCACAGAATGGTTTGGGCTGGGAAGGATCATCTCATTCCAAACCTTGCCATGGCAGGGACACCTCCCACTGTCCCAGGTGGCTCCAAGCCCCATCCAACCTGGCCTGGGACACTTCCAGGGATCCAAGGGCAGCCACAGCTTCTCTGATCTCTAACCTCTGCATAAATCCCCAGCCAGGCATTCCTCAGCTGTGCCAGTGTGGAAAGGCAGGGAGGGATCCAAGCCTTTCGTTCTGTGCTCTAGGAATGAGGTACAGGTGTCTAACACAGCCTGATAAACAGAAAAACAGCAAAACAAGGGAACTGAGTGTGTTGGGTTTTAAATGGCCATCTTACAAGAGCAGCTGAACGGGTGCAATTCTTTTGATTTGCGCACAGAGTAGAACAGTACGAAGAGGTTTTGTACATCGGTGACAGGGCACGGAGGAGGAAAGGACGCGTGGAACATCCCGAGCCAGCCCCAGCAGGCTGGGTGTGGTGCGGGGGTGCCCCGGTGGCACCGAGGCCATCGCGTTCCCTGCTTTGTCACAACTCCATTCCCATTTGTGCTCGGTTTGAGCTCGGCATTCCTGCGCTGGAGCAGGAGCTGCAGGAGAGAGAGGGGCCCCTCCTTCCCGAGCGAGCATCGCCTGCTGCTGTTCAATAATGCAGCAGGCTGCAGGAGGAAGGCAGAGCCAGCCCCTCGTCATCCCCGGCGCTGCTGCATCGCCACTCCCGGCAGGACCGGGACTGCCACCCCGCGGCCGCCGCCGAGGGTGAGGATGAGGATGAGGATGAGGGTGAGGATGAGGATGAGGATGAGGGTGAGGATGACGCCGGCGCTGCCTTCGCTTTGTGGCGCCGAGCTCTGAGCCTTTTGCCTGCCCTTTTAATGAATTCTGTTCTCCGCAGCACACGCTCAGCCGGCGGAGCTGCTGCAGCCGGCTTTGTTAAGCCTTCAGGAACAAATTGTTTAGGGACGAGGCAGCCGTATAAATCACCCTGAATTTTTCCTCCCCGCCCATCTGCTGGAGAGGTTCTGCTCTGTGCGCTGCACCGGCGCAGATGGTTCTCGGGGGGAGATTTCAAGGCTCTCTTTCTGGTTTCAAAAGCAGAATTCTTAGGGTATTAAAAGGTCTATTATTCTTTTCTCCCCCCTCTCCCGCCTGCCAGCCCATCCCCGTGTCCCTGCCCGAATCACACCAGGTTCTGTTCCAGCAGCAGTAAATCCATGCCGGTTCCGAGAGGAGGGGACAGCATTTTCCCTTTTCCTATAAAAATGGAAGAGCAGCTGCTGGCGTAGGAACAGCCCTACCCCTCATGCTGCTTTCCCTCAAACACAGCCCCCTGTCCCCCTCCATCCCTTCAGCAGCTCAGGCACGGAATTATTCCCGGCAGAGCCGGGAGGTTCCTCCGCGGAACTCCCAAAAAACATCGCCTGCAGGAAAACGGAGCAGCCGGAGGGAGGGTGAAGCGAAGCCTCCCTGATGTGCTGACAGCTCCTCATCCAGGGCAGCAGTTTGGGCTTGACTCGTTTATTTTGAGGTTCATTTTCTACCGGCACTGCTGGCTCTGTTGGGAGGAGGCATTTGCAGAAAGGACTGGAAACAAAGACTGGCGCAGGCTCGCGGTGGGGCGTGTTCTGTTACCTGCCAGCAGCGAACACAGCTCTGCAGGGGACACAGAAATAGCCAGAAAGTGCTTTTAGCTTCATTTTCATGTCCCTCAGCCTCTCGAGTAGAGATAAAGCTTTGCCTGATGCTGGTGCCTGATGGAAAAAGCAGAAATGTGAGAATTGGTTAAACCCTGGAGGGGATCCTGCTCAGGATCCTGCCTTTAATTCCATGTGGTTGGACTCATCCCATCTGGAATTGCTGGTGTCCTGTTCACAGTGTCCCTCTGACATTGGAACTGATGTCTCCAGGTGTGATCCTTCAGAGCTGCTGGCCAGTGGCTGTAAAATGCCAAATCCACCGATTCCCCTTGGTTCTCCAGCTAAGGGTGTTTGTTATTTTCCTGCTGATTTGTTCAAGTTGCTCTCTGTTACCTTTTCTATGCTGATAATTGCAGTTACATTCCCACAAAGAGGGGAGGGTGAGGGATGCTCCCCTCTTGTGTCTAGGCAGGACTTGGCCTCTGATGAGTGTTTTCCCCAATTTTTGAGACACCACATGGTGACAGGAGGAGCAGCCCTGTCCCAGCCCTGCCTTTGCCTGGGTGTGAGCTGAGTGACCCCGTGAGCCAGCTGGGGCTCCTGGTGCCACACAGGGCGAGCTCCTGCTCTCACTAGCACAGGCATGGCCCTAAAATCCTTCTCATTTGAATAATTGATGCCTCTTGATCCTCCAGGGATGCCCTAATTGCAACACTGGTGGCAGGTGCTCACTTAATTCTGTCCTGTTTTTAAAGGAGGCTCTGAATCTCTTTGTATGAATCCCATGGCCAGGGGTTCCTGGGGGTGACCTGAAGGTCTGTAGGGCACCGGAGCTGGACTGGATCCACGTGTCCCCAGGAGCTCCCTGCTGGAAAGGGGCAGCCTGGTGAGGCACTGGCTGCTGCTGGGGGTTTTCCTTCTCCTGAATTCCCTGTCCTTGCTGGGAAGTGCTTGGGCAGAGGGGGCACAGAGCTGGGGGCATTCCCAGCCCTGGTGCCAGGGGAGGAGGTGCTGGTGCTGCCCCAAGATAAGTGCAAAACCTTCACCTGGAACAGTGATTCCAGCTCTGGAGCCCCTGACAAACAGGATGTGGAATTGTGGAGTCCAGAGAACTGCTCCAAGGGCTGGAGCAGCCATGGAGCCAGGCTGGGACAGCTGAGGTGTTCAGCTGGAGAAGGGAAGGCTCCAGGGAGAGCTCAGAGCCCCTTGAAGGGCCTAAAGGGGCTCCAAGAGAGCTGGAGGGTGACTGGGGACAAGGATGGAAGGACAGGACACAGGGAATGGCTGCCAGTGCCAGAGGGCAGGGTTAGATGGGATATTGGGAAGGAATTCCTTCCTGTGAGGGTGGGCAGGCCCTGGCACAGGTTGCCCAGAGAAGCTGTGGCTGCCCCTGGACCCCTGGAAGTGTCCAAGGCCAGGCTGGATGGGGCTCGGAGCAACCTGGGATAGGGGAAGGTGTTCCTGCCATGGCAGGGGTGGAATGAGATGAGCTTTAAGATTCCTTCCAACCCAAACCATCCTGGATTCTCCCTGCAGAGTCTGGGAAGGGAAACCCAGAGGAGGAGGAGATGTGGGGCTGTCAGTGCTGGGGGCCCCACCTGAGGGGGATCAGGACCCAGGGAGGGTGGGGGACATGGGCTGAGGAAGGCAGAGGCACAGGAGCCAGGGCTGAGGAGAAGCCAAGAGGCTTTGGAGGTCTGAGCACAAACAGGAACCCGAGGAGAACAGAGCAGGAGCAGAGCATGGATGGAGAGGGAGGCTGAAGGATGCAGGAGATGAACAGAGAGCCAGAGATGGGGGGAGGGCAAGAAAAGGGCTGGGCTGGAACGGGAACTGAGAGCCTGGGGAAGCTGAGGGAGAGATGAATCCATGCCAGGGTGCAGAATGAGGGAGAGCTGGGGCTGAGCAGGGGTGGAGGCCAAGGTGACTTCGGGGCTGAAAGGCTTTTGGAGTTCTAGAGGAACTGGGCTGTTATTCCTGGCACAGGATTTGGGGCTGTGGTCTCCAGACTGTGGGAGCTGAGGCTGTGGGGCAGGAAACCACAGAACTGAGAGCAGGAGAGCAGAGCCCACAGGAGGGAGCTGAGGCTCTGGAAGATGCTGCTGTGCAGGTGGAGGGGAAGGTGCTGATGTGAGAGGGGAGGCCAAGAGGGTCTCCAGGTGTGCTGGGACATGGAGAAGGTCTGGAGGTTGGGAGGCCCATGGACTGAGGGAGGTGACCAGAATGAGAGGCTCGACCTCCCTTTTTTAGTTATAAAAAACTATATTTAAAGGAATGTGTAATATAGAAGGGGTAGAATCTGTTATAACTCTGCTCATGTTTTCTCCAGCTGTCTGCTTTCCCAGCACCAAGTTGTGCACATATTGAATTACATTTATTCTTTCAAGTTTAAAGTTCTAGTTTAAGACAGTGGAGGAGATGGGCTCCTACCAGGAGTGATTCCTTGCCAAAAAAAAAAAAAAAAAAAAAAAAAAAAAAAAAAAAAATTCCTACAGTCTCCTTTAGTGGAAATGAGAACTTCAGATTACACATTGAAACTCCTATTTTCCCGTGATAGCTTTCAAAGCCAGGTTAGATAAAAATATTCTCTCAAAGCAGCTTTATCTCCAGCTGATTCCTCATTTTTACCAGCTCTTCAGAATAACCCAGGTCAGATATACATAAAGTTTTGTGGAAAGATCTCAGCCTTGGATGAGTGTTCATATTTAAACCCAGTTCCACTGAGGGTTTTGGTGCCTGTCCCAGCTCCTCACGTGCAGCATCGTGTCCTGGTCCTGAGGCAAAGCCTCGCCATCAGCCACGGCAGTGCTGGAAACTGGCAGTGGAGCTTCCCACACTGGCTCCTTATCAATTCCACCAGGAAATCCTTGGATCCAGTTCCACGTTTGAGACATTTACAGCTGTGCTGAAAGTTGTTCTGATTCATGAAGGAATCTCCAGGCAGGGAGAGCAGGGACCCTTGGCAGGGGTGCTGGTGGTGGAACCAGGGTGAAAAGCCCCCATGAGATGTCCCCAGTGGCTGGGATGCACCCAGGCCAAGCTGGAGGATGAAGTCTGAAGCTGCTGCATGGGAAGTCATTTCTTTCGCTGGGAATTCACAAGAATAATGGGAATTTGGTTTCCTGAGTGGAAGCAAACAGCTCTGTGCCACCTCCAGCCCTGTCTGTGCCCTGCAGCCCGGGCTGGGTAGAGGCTCTTCCAGTCACTGGCAGCAGAGGGTGAAGCAGCTTTGGTTTGGGGGCAGAGAGAGCATCCCCCCGCTGTGATCCCGTGCTGGAACACCCTCTGTGGTCACACCATGGGTGCCTTCTCCTGGGCAGGAGAACAGATGATTTTGAAGTGGCCGTCCTCAGGGCTGGGAAGGGCCCCGGCACTTCCCGTGCTGCAGATCCTGGGGAAGGAGGGAGCAGCCCTTTCCCCAGGGTGGCAGGAGCTGCTGTGGCAGGATTTGGTCTCTTGTACAGCAGAGCCATGTCCAGGGAAGCAGAAGCCACAGGTTTCCACTGGCTCTGGGATTCTGATGCTGGTGAATCCATCACCAACGCTGCTGGCTTCCACCAGCCCATCTGCAAATAAACGGCATCAGCTGAGGGGCCCAGGAGCAGCTTTCACCTGGGAATGTCTGAAGTGCTGCCCTAGAACCTGTGAAAAGCTGGTCCTGGACCTGGAGAGGACACCCAGCTCCCAGCATGGACTCACTGTGTCACCTAGAACACCCAGAAAACCTCTCCAGACCTGGTGGCTTATCTTAAAGATGACCTTTGATCCCTGTGTCCTTCAGCAAAGCAGACAGGAATGGCTTGAGGGACAGTCCTTGGAGTGACTCCAGGGGTCACACTGGCTCATGGGGTCTTCCTCTGTGATTTTTGACATTGATGGCTTTGAGGTGGGTGAATGTAAACATGGCTGTGTGTGCTGTGTGTGCAGAAATAGGTAAGTAGGCAATTTTTCTTTGGAAAGGCAGGAGAGGAGAAAAGGAGGAAGAACAAAACCACCTTTTCCATGTTGAATTGTTCCACATTATCCTTTCTCCTTTTCTCCCTAACACAAGGACTTGTGGAGCCCCTCTGGCTGCAGAACTAAAACTGGGTTTCTGTGGGACAGGTGCTCGTTTTGGAAGAGGGTTGGCTTTTGTCCCCTCAGCCTCTGGATGGAGCCTGGAGAGGTGCCGCCCTTGGAACAGCTCCAGGAGGGAAGCTGTGCCTGGGGAGGGAGCGACTGAGGAGTTGTGGTGGAGAATCGGGCGCACGGTCCAGTCCTGCTCCTCTTCCAGGCTCACTCTCATTGTCTTTGCTTTTTCTCCCTCCCCTTTTAGGAAACACCTCTGCTTTTTTTTTCCTGGCAGCCCCAGCCTGTCCCTCCAATCCCCCCACCCTGTGCCGGTGTCCCCAGCACCCACCTTTGGCAGGGTCCTCCCTGCAGTGGCAGCTGGCGGCGCTGGCCTCTCCCTTCCTGCGCAGGTGGGTCCAGCCCAGGAGCAGGGAGCAGACGAGGCTGCAGAGGCAGAGCCCCAGCAGCAGGTACAGCGCCAGCCACGGCTCCTGCTCCGCGCACGCCTTCTGCTCCAGCGCCGCCGGCCCCGCCGTGGCTGCGGCACAGACGGGGCAGCTCAGACACCGCTGGGGCGCTTTTTGGGAGGGAATCAGCTGGCAGTGGCACGGAGACGGGGCAGCTCAGACACCGCTGGGGCGCTTTTTGGGAGGGAAACCGCTGGCAGTGGCAGGGGGGAGGGGGCAGCCTCTAAGGGTGGCTTTTTGGGCGGGAATCAGCTGGCAGTGGCACAGAGACGGGGCAGCTCAGATGCCGCTGGGGTGATTTTTGGGAGGGAAACAGCTGGCAGTGGCAGGGGAGACGGGGCAGCTCAGACACCGCTGGGGCGATTTTTGGGAGGGAAACAGCTGGCAGTGGCAGGGGAGATGGGGCAGCCTCTGGGGTGGCTTTTTGGGAGGGAATCAGCTGGCAGTGGCACAGAGACGGGGCAGCTCTGACACCGCTGGGGTGGCTTTTTGGGAGGGAAGGAGCTGGCAGTGGCAGGGGAGATGGGGCAGCCTCTAAGGGTGGCTTTTTGGGTGGGAAGGAGCTGGCAGTGGCAGGAGGGAATGGGGCAGCTCTGACACCGCTGGGGTGGGAAACAGCTGGCAGTGGCAGGGGAGATGGGGCAGCCTCTAAGGGTGGCTTTTTGGGTGGGAAGGAGCTGGCAGTGGCAGGAGGGAATGGGGCAGCTCTGACACCGCTGGGGTGGGAAACAGCTGGCAGTGGCAGGGGAGATGGGGCAGCTCTGACGCCTCTGGGGTGATTTTTGGGAGGGAAACAGCTGGCAGCGCCTGTGCGCTCCGCTGGGGAGGAGTTTGGGAGCAGCTCTGTATCCCCTCTGCCCGCTGGTAAGGTACAGGAGATCCCTCCCCACGCCCCACTCACACCCTCCCACTTCTTCAGGGATCGTCTCAACCCCAGTGAAGGACTTGGGGGTCCTGGGGATCTGCCTGTCCCCTCCCCGAGGGCTGGGGCAGCTCAGCCGGGTGGGATCCACTCTGCCTGGGGGAGCTGCCCACCCTGTGAAACACCAGCACACCACAGGGAAAAGCCACGGCAGGATGGAGACAATGGGGAGGAGATGCCCTGGCTGTTTTTCCCCGGCCCTGGTGCGATAGCAGCCCCCAAGAGGGCAGTGCCAGGGACGCAGGGGGGTTCTGAGCCCCTTCCCCACTCACGCTCGCAGGACAGGGCGCATTCCCTGGGGTGCTGCCCGCACACCGAGCTGCACTGGATGCAGTTCTTCACCAGATCGTCGTAGTAAAATCCAGGTCTCTTGTTGCAGTCCATGGACTCTGCGGGAGGGGAGGGAGATGAGCACGGTGTCCTCAGCACAGCCCCCACCACCCCAGTTCATGGCAGGACGAGCCCAGCTCGCTGCTCTGGCAGGCTCAGGGTGGCACCTGCCTGCACCCCACGGCCTCTGCGGGGCTGGCAGGGTGGCAGACCCGGGATTTGGGGGGGGTCTTTGGCTGGAGGGCTGGGAAAAGGCATCTGCTGGAGAGGGGGTGGTCTCAGCCAGCCACAGGCAGCTGGGCTCACCTGGGGACTCTCAGAGCTGCTGCTGCTGCCCTGGGGCTTGCACAGCTTTTTGGGACACCCCAAAACCTGCCTCAGGATGCCAGGAACGGCATCTCCTGTCCTCCAGGAGGAGATGTTCACTTGTGGCTGCTGAATGAGCCCTGGGATGGGGTGAAGCCACCTCAGCCTGTGACTCCAGGAAGGCACAGGGCAGGGCAGCAGAGTTCATGTGTCCCTTGTCCTCCTCCCCAGCTGTTTTCAGGACACCTCGGGGCCTGTCCCAGGGGGTTTATCATTATCCACATCCCTGCCTTTGGAGGGGGGGGGTGGCCCCAGTAGGGAACAGGAGTGTTGGGGCAGCCTGGTGACCCCCAAAGGAGCAGTGCAGACCCCTGGTCCTGGTCCTGAGCTGTTGCCAGCCCCAGCCCATCCATGGGGAGCTGTCACATCCCCCTGTGGGTTTGGCTTGAAGCTCTGCAAAGCTGGGCTGGCTCTGAGCCTGCCCTGGGGTTCATCCCAGGCTCTGAGCCTGCCCTGGGGTTCATCCCAGGCTCTGATCCTCCCTCCCAGCTTGGCCCCATCCCTGACTCTTCCCTGCAGGGGCACCCCAGCACTCACCACACACAGCATCACACTTCCTGGCCAGGGACTGCCTGCAGGCCAGGCTGCAGGGGATGCACTGGGAAACGAGGGTGTCCCAGTACTCCTGGTCAGTGCAGTTCTTCATGGCATCCTGCCCCACTCGTGGCCCATCCATGGCTGCAGGACAGAGACACAGGTGGGTGTGGGGTGGCCACCACGGGGCTGCTCTGCAGCCACCTCGTCCCTTTCTAGGGCTGGCAGCCCTGGCAGGGGATCCTGGCTGTGCCTCAGCCCTCTCTGGTCCCAGGCTTGAGCAGGAGCACACAGCCAAATCTGCTTTTCAAGCTGTGTGTGTGCCCTGTGCCAGTCCCAGGGGGCACACAGAGAGCCCACCCTGGCCTAGAGGTGGCCCTGAGCTGTGCCCTGGGGGTCCCTGCACCTGCCAGAGGGAGCACAAGCACTGGGGACTACTCCTGTCCTTGCAGGCTTTTCTGAAAGTACCAGAAACAGCCCCTTGTGTGTCATTCCTGCCCCTTCTCTTGGGTGTTCTGGTGTCATAGTGAAACCAGGCTGATGTGTCAGAGCAGAAGAAGGAGGGAAATCTCCCCAGGAGACTTTAGGCACCAGTTTAACCAGTGCCAGGTGGAGGTGGACGTGCTCTTGTCCCTGTCACGGGCTGCCTGTCCCATCCTCTGCTGCCCCAGTGCTCCCAGTGCCCTTGTGCACGTGCCAGAGGCACAGGAGCAGCTCTCAGCAGCACAAAAACCATCAAAACCTCACGTTTTGAAGAATTATCTGGCTGAGAACAGCTCCTGTGCTGTGCCACTCGCGGGGTCTGCAGAGGAGCAGCTGCAGGGAGCTCTGAGCCAGCAGCGGGGTGGCCGTGGTGGCATTGAGCCCTTTGCTGCCTGACAGGGCTCAGGAGCCTCGTCCCTCCCTGGAGCCTCGTCCAGGCTCCCTGCAGGGTGGGAGATGCTGCTGCTGCTGGGCCCCAAAGGCTCAAAACTCCCCCGAGCTGCAGAGTCAGCTCCGCGTGCCCAGAGGCTGAGCTGCTGCCTTGGCAGAGCCAAACCTCTGGTTTTTATACAGAAAATCCCCTGTGCTCTGCCAGGGTTTCTCCTCTCTCTCCAGGATTCGGAGATTGGGCACTTGGCACGTCTGTCCCACCCAGCACCTTCCCTGCAGAGGGGCTGGGTCCTGCCTGGGGCAGCACAAGAGAAAACCCCCCCATTCCCAGGGAAAAATCCTCCCTGCACTGGGATGCTGGCCTGGCACTCCCAGTTCTTCAATTAACATTGCTATAAAATGAAATAATGACTTTCTGTCGAGCTGACTGGAGACACCCCCAGGGCAGAGCGAGGCTCAGGGCACTGCTCTCCTCGGGTGCTCTTGGAAGAAACTGGGCTTTGCACCCAGAGAAGCCCCCCCAGGGATGGCAGGGAGCTCTTTGGGGGTTCCTGCCAGCCCTGGGAATGGCAGGGAGCTCTTTGGGGGTTCCTGCCAGCCCTGGGGATGGCAGGGAGCTCTTTGGGAGTTCATGCCAGCCCTGGGGATGGCAGGGAGCTGAGCCATCCTTGACCTAGGGGGGGTTTCCCATGGGATAAGTGATGGGAAGCAGACCTGGGGCTGTGTTAAAGCTGAGGGGCTGCAGGCTGGGAGCCTCCGTCCCAGGTGCTGTGAGGACACGTCCAAGGAGATGTTTGCTCTCATCTAGGACAGACCTTCCCCTCCCTGGGGAGTCCCAAGGGGCACGTGGTGCTCCCAGCACAGACTGCTCAGCCATGATTTTCCAGCAGAGCCAGGTGAGTCTTTCCCTCTGAATTCCCCCACAGGCCCCTCATGCCAAGCTTTAAGCACCCACAGGACAAGGATGGCAGGGAGCTCTTTGGGAGTTCATGCCAGCCCTGGGGATGGCAGGGAGCTGAGCCATCCTTGACCTAGGGGGGGTTTCCCATGGGATAAGTGATGGGAAGCAGACCTGGGGCTGTGTTAAAGCTGACGGGCTGCAGGCTGGGAGCCTCCCTCCCAGGTGCTGTGAGGACACGTCCAAGGAGATGTTTGCTCTCATCTAGGACAGACCTTCCCCTCCTTGGGGAGTCCCAAGGTGCACGTGGTGCTCCCAGACTGCTCAGCCACGATTTTCCAGCAGAGCCAGGTGAGTCTTTCCCTCTGAATTCCCCCACAGACCCCTCATGCCAAGCTTTAAGTACCCACAGGACAAGGGGGGATGGCTTTAAGCTGAAGGAGGGTAGATTTAGATCAGTTATCAGGAAAAAATTCTTTCCTCTGAGGGTGGTGAGGCCCTGGCACAGATTCCCAGAGAAGCTGTGGCTGCCCCTGGATCCCTGGAAGTGTCCAAGGCCAGGTTGGATGGGGCTTGGAACCCCCTGGGACAGGGGAAGGTGTCCCTGCCATGGCAGGGGGGTGGAACTGGACGAGAATTCAGCTCCCTGCCAGCTCAAACCACTCTGTGATTCCCTCTCCAGCCCCTCAGCACTGACTCTGAGCAGAGCTTCCACTCCCTGCTGGCCATGGATCATTCCCAGCTCCAGCCCTGGCCCCCAGACCCCTCACCCCAGCCCCCCGAGCCCCTCCATGGGGTCACTCACGTCTGGCTCTCCAGCAGTGGCTACTCCCCCTGGGCTCCAGCCATGGCCCCGGGAGCTGCAGTGCTGAGCCCCTGCGTGGCCCAGGGGTTATTATTAGAGAGATTTGGTTAATGCCTGGCTCTGCATTTCCTGGGGCTTCCCCTCGTCCCTTCCATGCAAATTGGCCGCACACTCAGCGCCTTGCATTGGCTCCTGGGGTCCCCGGGCTGCTGGGGACAGCGTGGGGGACGCTGCGGGGGGATGTGTCACCAGGGACAGGTGTCCTGGGTGTCCTGGGCCAGGTGGCCACACTTCAGAGGGCCCTGGTGGAGTGGGAGCTCTCAGCGCTGCGAGGACTGCGGCAGAATCCCAGCATCACAAAGGCTGGAAAAGCTCCCCCAGCCCAGCCATGGCCCAGCACTGCCAGGGCCACGTCCCCAAGTGCCACTGAGACACCTCCAGGTCCCTCCAGGGGTGGTGGTTCCACCTCTGCAGCCTGTGCCAGCGGGTGTTTCCTTCGGGGAGAGGTGTTCCACTCTGCACAGGAGGCAGGAGCAAGCTGGGAGCATCCATCCCCTCCGTGTCCTGGGCATGGTCAGCAGCAGGCACGGCCCTGTCTCCTGCTCTCACCTCACAGAACCTCTCTGGAGCCCCAAACACTGATTTTCTCAGGTGCCTCCATGTCTGGGAGGCAGGAGGGCTGTGCTGGGTCCTGCATGGCAGCTGGGTCCTGGCTGGGGTGGGGGCATTAATAACTCATTAATAGCACATTAATAACTCATTCATAGCCCATTAATAACTCAATAGCACACTAATAACCCATTAATAGCACACTTATAACTCATTGATAGCACATTAATAACTCATTAATAGCACATTAATAGCACAGCTTGTTTTCACAGGGGCAAAGAGCCACCTCTGCACTGCTGGCAGCCTCCAGGGGTTTGTCCCTGCTCCTGCAGGGATGCTGGGCACGGCTTGGCAGAGGTGCCAGGGGGAGGCACAAGGTGCTGGGAGCGTGGCAGAGCAGTGACTCAGCTCCGTGCTGAGGGACCTTTCTGCAGAAGCAGCTGAAGGAGGAAGGAAGCAGCAATACCTGTTACTAAAAGCATTCGTGGAGCAGCATCAAGGGCTCCTCTGTCTGGTTCAAAAGCTCCTGTTTTGTGCTTGCCATGGGGAGCTGGAGAGGCCAGAGGATGTTTTGCTGCCGTGTCCATTGCAGGGACACTGGAGGCTGATCCTGCTGATGGGGAGCACAGCCCAGAGCAGGGGAACCCAGCACCTCGTGTTTGGATGTGGCCCATGAGATCCCAGGTGCTGAAGGAGGCTGGGAAGCAGCGCTGGCACCATCAGTGCACCTCAGGGCTCGGGGCAAGGACCAGCAGAGGAGGCACAGGGACACTGCCACATGCCACGTGCCCTGTATCTGGCACAAAGGATGAGATCACTGCTGTGCTGAGCCTCCCCCTGGGAGGGAAATCACGATTTTGGCGTTGCCTGAGCTGGTTGAGTGTGGCAGAGCAGGGAGATGGCCCTGGAGAGACGGCCCCAGCCCGCTGCTCTCGGGGTTTTGCAGGGGAAACTCACCTCTGTAAATAGCACCAGAGACTCGCAGTTTCCACCCTGGTGAGCCCTCGAGGGGGAAGTGAGAAGCACTTGGGGGTGGTTTGTCCCTCCTCGCTGAGCAGGGATCAGGCAGAGTGCTCTCAGCTGTAGAGTTCTGGGCTGTCTGCACTGGAGCCCCATTTCCTGGGCCGTGTGCCCCAGCGGCCTCAGCCTGTGCCCCAGACAGCATCACCCCCTCCTGCAGCCTCTGAGCCTGCTCTGTGCTCTCCAGCACCCCCAGACACGCTGCCCCGTGAGCTCCTGTCTCAGCCGAGGCAGTGGCTGCCACCCTGCCATGCCTGGGGTTGTTCCTGTGGTTTGGGCAGCCCCCACCAGCCCCCCGTTCTGGATTTCTGGATTAAACCCTGCCTTTGCTGAGTGCACTGGTTCCCCAGGGCATCAGCCAGCAGCTCCCCGTGCATCCTCCCAGTGCCATGCATCCCCCTGCATCCCCCACATGGTTTTGCATCCTGCAGTGCCCACCTGCACCCGGCTCTGGAGGTGCCACACTCTCTTTGGGGTGACAGAGCCCAGTTTTTTCCTGGCAACACAATCTCTTTTTCTGCTGGGCTCCTGCCCCAGCGGCCGTGCTGCAAGGAGAGCTGCAGGTCACAGGCACACAGGGTGGGTGATGTTTGGCTCTGAAGTTTCAGGGGTGCTTTGCCTTGCCCTTGAGCAGCTTTGCTGGGATGGTTTCCTCCCCTGAGCCCATCTGCTCTGAGCAGTCCCGAGCCCTGGCCAGGCCAGGTTTGCTCGCACACCTGCTCCCTGTGGGACCTGAAAAAAGGGGGAAGGAGGGGCAGAGGAGCCTTTTTCGGCCGAAACTGCCGAGCGCGGGGCCGGGCTGAGCGCGGACGGCTCCGAGGGCTCATTTCTGTCACCCCAATTCCCTGCGGGGCCAGGATGTGCCTGTCCCCGGGCATCCCCCTGTCCTGCCACCGCCACCTCAGGGCACACCCCGGAGTCACTGCGCGGCCGCCAC